CAGACACCAGGGCCAAGAAGTGTGTGCACAGGGCACACATGCCTGTGATTGCAGACACCCGGGCCCATAAGCTGGAAAGCACGAGGTGCATGTACCTGTAAATACTGATGCCCAGGCCAAGAGATTGTTGGGACAGTATGATGGAGCATACTGACAGTATGATGGAACTCATGGTGGAGGGGGCTGTGCTTGTGTGAATCGGGAAGGCAGGCGTCATGGGAGACCAAGAGAGGGGGGAGATCACAGGGGCTCGGAGGCTCTGTTTCTTCCTGCCTCTCAGCCCCCCAGCCTCTCTCATATCTGCCTCCCTGCCTGCTGGTGTGCCTGTGTCTGGTTCCCCGCTTCAGCATTAAAGGCATGTCAAATCTATTGAAGACTTGAAGATTCCTTAATCTGTTTGCCTGAATTGACCATGAACCTGCCCAGACCGGGATGATTATATAACCACCAGCCAGGCCTTGGGTCGGGTCTGGCACTGCCATTTCTTAGATGTAGCCTTAAATGAGTCACGTTATCTGGATGTTGTTGGCTGTAGGGTAAATGAAGATTGGTCAGGCTTTTACGCCACTGGCCTCTGTGGCTATCACCTGCGGCCTTGATTGTGCTAATATAGGACACACTTGGTAGCGTGGATTCGGGGTACGCATGCCTGATGGTGGACACCTGAGTGTGGTGTGGGCGTGCGTAAATGTGCACACCTGAACCTGGAGGCTGAACATATAAGGGCGACGTCACACCCGGGACAGTTGTTGCAGAGAATGGCTACGAGGGGATGAGTGACGACTGCGAGAGGCAGCTGAGAGGAAAGAGCCTATAGATTCATAGGGTGCCCAAGTTGCAGTCTCCCTGCTGGCTTCTTTCCCCTTTGTACTATTAAAAATTCTATGAGGATGATGCCAGTGGCTCTTTTAAGCTGCCTGAACCAACAGTGAACCTACCCAGCCTGGAAGGGTTGCTCAGTACTGGGTATGATGGTGGAAGTGGTAGTGGAAGAGGAGAAGGTGGTTTAGTTGTGGTAGAGGAGGAGGTGGAAGTGGTGAAAGAGCAGGAGTAGGAGGTGATGATGGAGGAAAAGTGGATGTGGTTGGCCATGGTAATGGTTTACCCTTGAGAAAGACAGTATGATGGAACTCATGGTGGAGGGGGCTGTGCTTGTGTGAACTGAGAAGGCACGGTGGAGGTTGGACAATGTCCTTGACATATAGTAAGGATTACAGAGAGTGTGAGGGAGGAGAGCTGGACTGGCATACACAGTGTGGGGGCAGACAGGTCCTGTGTGGAACAGAGAATGGGAGGCATCAGGCTTGTCTCCCAGCAGTAGAAAGAGTGAGCTATAGATTTCTGGCTGTCAGAAAACTTGGGAGCTGCAACTTAGGAAGAGCCAAGTGGTCACCATGCATAGAAGACGTCTCTGAGAGGATGGTAAGGCTTTAAACCCTGTTGAAGAGGAATTAGCACTGGAGGAGGTTTTGAAAGAGTTTCTTTTCAAGCACTTGGGGTTGTACGGCATGTAGTTGGAAGCACAACTGGAGAGAAGTTGAAGCTATTTCGATGGAGAGGGACATGAAATTGGAGCAACAGGTACAGCAGGAGCAGGTGAAGAGGCCAGTGAAGAGATGAGACTGAAAATGTGAAAGAGAAAAGAGGTCAGGTGACGAGCGTCCCTCAGGAGGCTCAGCAGTGCATGTCACCTGGGCCTGGGGTGCGGAAGATAGGCTCTTATTTTTTCAGCTATAGGTGAGAGATTTGAGGTGCAAAAGAGGACATCCCACCAGGACAGCTGCGTGAGTACACACATGCTTGTGTCTGGCAGAGGGTGGGAATCAGAGGGTGTAATGTCAGAGCGAGGATCTTCATTAGCAGCTGATTATATGTTTTATTGGGAATCTGTTTCTAGAACTAGAAGGGTCTGATTCAAATCCTGGCTCCTGCCAGTCTTGAACAAGTTACTTTTCCCCTCTCTGTGCCTGTATTTCCTCGTGCATAAAATGGTTTTAAAAATTGCACCTCCTTAGGGGCCTCCCCGGTGGCGCAGCGGTTGAGCGCTGGGTTGCGAAGCTGCCTGCAGCCTCCACGTCGCCAGTTCGATCCCCGGCTGCTCCCCGGCCACCGGAGGAGGGTCCCACATGGCGTGCAGACCTCTCCTGCCGCCCGCTGCTCCCCTCAGCAGTGTACTTCGGTCCTTCTGCCTGCTCTGCTTCCCGCTCTAGCTCTGGTGAATTCTCTCACCCTCCCGCGCTTCTGACTGTACCCAGTGCTTGTATAAATAAATAAATAAATAAATCTTAAAAAAAAAAAAAAAAACAGCTTTTAAAAATTGCACCTCCCTCCTCAAACTTGTGAGGATCAGTTCCGTTAACACAGGAGGGGCAAGTTAAAACAGTGCCTAACACATGTAGCTTGATGTTTGGGCTGCTGCTTCAGGCAAGATGACTTGGTAAAGCTGACCTAAGGATGTTGAGTCAAGCCCAATTTTCCTGGGCCCAGAGAAACCTCAGGTGTTTTGTTTTCTTCAGGTCTCTGCAGCCTCTTTGTAAGATCCCAAACACTTGGGAGACACTAATAACTCTCTACACTTGATTGGATAGTGCTTCATAGTTTACTAAGTGCTTCCACGATATTCCCTTCACACTGCACCTGTAAGGTAAGCAGTGGTTCTGTGTGGCAGTTCCTGTCAGAACCCTCCTGCTCCTCTCAGTTGAGGAACCTGCTGCAGATGCCATGGGCTTGACGAGCATATTTAAGGACATCACAAGTTCTGAGAAGCAGAACCCAGGACTCTTGTCCTTCCCCTCACCCCTCCCCTTCCTACCATATTTCACTGAATGATGGAAACAACTTTGAATTAAATGCTATAAATAATAGTCTTTGTAAATCAGAACTGAATTGGGTCACCTCTATTTTCACTCAGAGTGCCAAATGTCAAGAGAGCTGAGGCCCAAGACTTGGATTCTCATCCCAGGCCAGAATTGTGGTTTGCTGACTGGATTTCTGCCACTCCTGTTGGGAACAGGACCTGAGACCTGTTTGCCCTGTCAGTCTGTTGAGAACTGTGTGCAATCTAGAGACTGGTCCCTTGTGTTTGAATTACATGTCAATGTCAGCAGTAATTGCCACCTCCTTAGTCAGCTTTTCCTTTCAAACTTCAGCCGATGGATATCAGAGTTAGAAACTCAGTTCTAGTCCTTTCCCTAGAATCACTGGGTTTTTGGGAAATAATTGATTTTTTTTTATGTTTTTATTTATTTATTTGTTTGTTTGTTTGTTTGCTTGTTTGTTTATACATGCACTGGGCACAGTCAGAAGCGCGGGAGGGCGAGAGAACTCACCAGAGCCAGAGCAGGGAGCAGAGCAGGCAGAAGGACCGAAGTACACTGCTGAGGGGAGCAGCGGGCGGCAGGAGAGGTCTGCGCGCCATGTGGGACCCTCCTCCGGTGGCCGGGGAGCAGCCGGGGATCGAACCGGTGCCGCAGAGGCCGCGGGCAGCTTCGCAACCCAGTGCTCAACCGCTGCGCCACCTGGGAGGCCCGGGAAATAATTGATTTTTAATATACAGATGGTTTTGCAACATCTTGCCAAAGATTTGGGAAGTGGTATTATTGAATACTTGTCGCTTTCTCATTTTTATAATTACCCTCTCTTGTGACCTAAACATATGACTTTTACTAACTCAGGACAAGGGTAAATCATAATTTGTTGGGTTTTTTTTTTAAGATTTATTTCTACAAGAACTGGGGTACAGTCAGAGGTGCAGGAGAGTGAGAGAATTCACCAGAGACAGCGGGGAGCAGAACGACTGAAGACACTGCTGAGGGGAGCAGCGGGCGAGGCAGGAGAGGTCTGCCCCTCCCTGTGGGCTTCTCCCTGGCCGGCTGGGAATCGAACCTGCACTGCAGAGGCTGCAGACAACTTCACAGCGCGGCGCTCAACCCACTGTGCCACCGGGGAGGCCAATAATATGTTTTGAAATACCTGGAAAATGAATTCAGAGAAAATTATATCTGAGTCCCCTCAGATTCCTCCACCTATACATATCCCAGTTTCCTGCCTGTTGTTTTTCTTTCACGATTGTAGGGTTTCAGAGAATATTGTGGGATTGTATCTTGATGCGGGGCACCAGCAGACTGATTCAGTTGCTTGTTTGTGTGCAGGTCACGTGCCAGCTGTCACTGGAGAGAATTCACACTGTCGCTTCTCCAGATATTTTTAAATGGCTTTTCCACCAAGATAGCCTGAAAGCCTGGGTAGCTTTTCTCAATGACTGCAAGTGCATGCAAGCCTGTGCCCCAGCCAGCTTGGCAGTGCCAAGTGGCTGTGACGACACAGTGGTTCACTGCACTCTCCACCCTTCTCAGATTTCTGACTTCCTTGTGACTCTCATGTGGGAAATATGAGTGACTCTTGAGAAATCTTGGCTTAAGTTTAAAATTTTAACATTGCTGAGGTCATGACTTTTAGTTACCTTTTTACTTAGTTTGCTTGTCACTTATTACGGTGTTCATTCATGATCTTCCTCCTTAGTGTCTACCGATGTTTGTAGTTTTGCTCTCCATGTTACTGACGATGTGCTGATATTAATTAACCTACATATAGATGGAAATGTTCTTTCATTTTTAGAGCTTATGTTTTTCCTTATTGCAGACGTGCAAGATTTGTGCCTTCATAATTACAAACTCATACTTACTTGCTTTCTTTTCTCTGTGGTCCTTAGTAATTCTTACATGGAACTGTAAGTTTCTTCTTATCAAGTAATAAAGTAGCATAAAGTAGAAATTGTGAAAATTTGTTACCTGCTGCACGGACAAGTTTATTTAGGGTATTTGATGTATTTTAATTCACACTTTTCAAAAGTTGAATTAACCAGTGCCTCTTGCTGTTACTTCATTTTGCAGTCAATGTTGGAATGTTCTGTAATGGAATTTGAATGGGTGCCTTTTACTGTTGATAGTGGATTTTCCCTCATGGCCCTGCTGAACTGGTTTTGTGTTGACTTTCTGCAGGTGTTTTCACAGTCGTGTGTGTGGTATGGAGAGTGTGGAATTGCATCTGGAGACAAGAGGTATAATTGCAAATATTCTGGGCCACCGAAACCATTGCCAAAAGATGGGTATGATTTAGTGCAGGTAAGTTTGTCATCTGGGGCACTGGGGAAAAATGCTGATTATGTAGCATATTTAGCAGTATAGAGTTCCTCTATATAATTATTCCTTAAATATTGTGGGGTGAGAGGTGAAAATAATAGGCCTAAATCTTATCCCAAACTTTCATCTGTAGCAAGCAAGGCAGAGAAGTTTTAATGTTTCGGGTCCTAACTTTACGTCTTTCTAATAAAGTTTCCACATTAGGTTACTATTTGGGGACTGACCGTGGTTCCTCAAATGTTTCTCTTTACAACTTCTTCAAAATATATTAGGCAGTTGTTTTAGGTGTTAAATTTCAGAACTTGAATGGACTAGGCTGCCAAATGGCTATGTCATCCTTGCCCTGTGTTCGTTTTAGAGATTCCTGTTTTCCACCGAAGCCTGTGAACTTTGGCTGCTATCAGGATTCTGTTTACTGTTCTCTCTTTTTTTTTTTTTTTTTACCATCCCTGATAACAGAGATACTAGAAACGAACTAGGCATATCAATGTGAAAAGACTGATTTTAGAGGCTTAAATAATCTTAAATCAGGTTGACATGTTAGTAGGTCTCCCAGTCTTACTTGCTACTTTTATCAGAATTATTAAAACACTTGACTTCTCCTGAAGTGACTAATTGGAATAGTAAACAGCATTCTGGTTGAACTTAAATGAAATACCTGAGAAAAAAATGACTGTCAAGGAAAAGAGTGAGCTTCCAAATAAAATAAAAAATGGAAATGTCTCTACTGTCTCTATTTGTGATTCCCTAGTTTGTAGTTTTTAAAAGAAGTCTGCAAGAATTTTAAGCAAATGCGTGTCTTAACCCATGTGTACCTAAAAAGGAATACATGAATGAAGCTCTTATTTCATTAAGGACTGCTTGTCCTTATTTAACTATGCTACCCTGATACCCATGCTTTCTCACCCAAAAGGAACTCTGTCCAGGATTCTTCTTTGACAATGTCAGTCTTTGTTGTGATGTCCAGCAGCTTCAGACACTGAGAAACAACCTGCAGCTGCCACTGCAGTTTCTGTCCAGGTAGGTTGAACTATTAGATGTCCAGAAAAAACAGGTTTTACATACTTGTTAACCAGTGACATTCTAATTTCCTTTAAAAAATCAGTTTTGGATTTATTGTAAGGAAGCAATCTCAAGATATTTCAGAAATAAAGTACAGTGTCTGATAACGTAGTCATTATCAGTTTTCTTCCTAATTATATTAAAAGTTTCCTTGGGTTTCCTCTGAGATGTCTTCCCCCCAAAGAGATTCTGTGCTGTGGCCTGGCACCTTCAGGCAGCCACTTTGCACTGTGGGGAAACAAGGTTCCTGGTGGTTCTGCTGAGGTCTCTGACCAAGACCCTCATCTGTGCAGTCTGCATTGCCTCTCTTGACATCTCTCCTGGTTTGCACATTGTTCTCTCTTCCTGTAGTGACATGACCTGCCAGAGGCCCGCTCCTCTGCAGAGCTGGCATTTGGTCCCTGTTAACAAGCTTGTTCTGGCATAGTTGACTGGTATTTTCAAAAGTAGTTTGCTGTCTAATCTGTTCTTTAGACCAGAGCAGAGAAAAAGGTTATGTAATAAATATTTTTCTCTAAGTGCATGCAGCAGTTCTTAAGCATGTAAAAGAACATGCTGGTGGTGGTCTTTAGAGCAGCACATTGTGATCGTTTTCTGAAGTTCTCACTTTCTAAAGGTTCACACTGATAGAAGTAGATGATAGCACACATGAAAAGGGGGAGATGGTTTGTGCAGCAAACATGGCACAAGTCAGCATCCATAGAGGAATCCCTGTTTCTTGTCAAAAGTTTAAATTGGCAGTACCAATTTAAACCCATCCCTAAATCATTCTCACAGGGCAACATGCAATATAATAATAGATCAAAAAATTGAGACTCTAATCTGTGGAACACTAGTGGGATGTTGGTGGAGCCAGATTGGAGCAACCATTCAGTCAAAAAGCGTTTGTTTACCACCTATTCTTAGGTGAGGCATTATGAACATAGACATCAAAAGATAACCAAGTTTCCCCTATGTTGTTAGAAGTTTCAGAGCTTTATCATGGAGAGCTTAATATATGGGAAAATTATGCGTCTGTCAACATTGATGATTATGGGAAGTCATGTTGTGACATGGAAAGAGGTTTGTAATTCATGAAAAATGATAGTAAACTGTGTGCCCCAGGAGTGATTTTTGTTAGACTGGTGTCATTGTTCCTGTTTTCATCACAGTAAAGCATGGGATTACTGCCAGAGGGTCTGTGTGTATGTCTTCCTCCTTCACTAGAGCAGAGACTTCTGCAGGCCGGGACCACAACTTCCTTGTTTTGTGTCATGTGTGGTCACTTGGACTGGAGTAGAGAAGACAGGAATCTTGATTACTTTGCAAGAATATAAGTCTAATGAAGCAATAGCCTTTGCGGATAACAGTGAACCAATGCGGAGATAGTTGTTTACCACATAACTAGTGAACATTAGGAGCTTAAACCTTAAACTGAAGGACAGCAGACAGCGTGTTGGTCTCATGAAAACCCATGTGCTTCTTAAATGTGGCCAGAGAACACCTCTGCAGTTCTTTCTATCTTCTCAAGTCAGAGGAAATATTCTGGTGTTTAGAGAGGGCTTGGAGGATTGATTATAAAATGATCATTAGGTTAGAAGATGAAATTTCTATCGTGTAATTTTCATCTCATTTCATTTTTATCCCCTTTAATTAGAATTATTACCTCAAAAGGGCAGGGGAGGGGCTGGGGGGAAAAAAGAATTATTACCTCGATGCTTTGGTCTCTTTTGTTTTAGGACAAAAGACATCTTTGTAAATTATAAAGTGCAGAATTCAAAGAAGTATCTTGCTCTTTTTGAAATTGCACCTGACCAAAATAAATGTCATAATTATAGTTTTTAAAGAGGGATCTATTTTAATATGTGGTTTTAAGTTTAGAATTGCTCAGTTTAATATATCCTTCTGGAACTTCATTTGTTACTTTACAATACATTTTAAATATTATCTATTTTAATCATCTTTTTTGCTGACCCTGTTATTTGTCACATCAAGTACAATATAATTTACTTTTTCTTTAGATGCCCATCCTGTTTTTATAACCTAATAACCCTGTTTTGTGAGCTGACATGCAGCCCTCGACAGAGTCAGTTTCTGAATGTTACAGAAACTGAAGAGTATGTTGATCCTGTTACAAATCAGACAAAAACAAATGTAAAAGAATTACAGTATTATCTTGGGGAGAGTTTTGCCAATGGTAAGTAAACTTTTAATTATCCCTTTTCTACATTTATTATCAGGACATGTATCAAGTTAATTCCTTTTTGTTTTCCTCTCAACTGTGAAGTGACAATTTTTGGTTCTATTTGGCTTTGGAAAGTGAGATTGTTACTTTGCTTATATTCTGGGACTTGAGCTACAACTTAGAAAACAACCTTTGTAAAGTATTTGTTTTAATTCCTCCTTAGCTATAAGCTTCTGTGTGGAGGTTTTAGTATGTGCAAGTTTAATTTTGTATATTTTAGTGACCATTGGAACTTTGGTTATAGTGGACATGAATTACTACAAAACTAAGGTAATTGGGGTAGAAACATGAAGCTACTACTTGGCCCAGAAAAGAGTATTTTGAATGTAAAAAAAAAATTTCACCAAGAAGGAAAGTAAGCAGGCATAACAAATAGGAGAAAGGGTACCCCAACAACTAGAATAGTCTGAAAAATAATGTTTTTTGAAAATGAGTGCAAGAATTCTGAAAGAATAGGACACTAGGGGGAAAGAATGAACAAATTAGAATTAGAACCAACTGTATCTATTAATGAGAAACAGTTATTTAATAAATTGAAACATAAATAGCAGATTAGACACAGTTAAACAAAGAATGCCCAGCATAATCTATTCAATATATGAGAATAAGAATTTAGTCAAGTTAAGCAACTTACAAATTTAATTGCAATATCAATTTAAAATGTGACCAAAAAAATTAATAGAAAAAATTCCCATTCACAGAAGTGACAAAAAGTAATATTCCACTGCCTAGATGTACCACAGTTTATCCATTTATCTTCTGCAGGACATTATAGTTGCTCCCAAGTTTTGGCAGTTATGAATAAAAATACTTTAAATCTCCATTGCAGGTTTTTGTGCGGACATAGATTTTCTGCTCTTTGGGGGAAATGCCAAGGAGTGTAATTGCTGGATCACATGCTAAGACTATTCTTAGTTTTCTGAGAAATTGTCAAACTGTCTTCCATAGTGGCTGTTCCACTTCGTATTCCCACCAGCAGTGAGAGTTCCTGTGGCTCCAAATCCTCACCAGCACTTGGCATTATCAGTGTTTTAGATTTTGGACATTGTAAAAGGTGCATAATGGAATCTCAATGTAGTTTTAATTCAGAATTTCCTAAGCCATGTAACATTAAGGATCTTTGTAAGACCTCACTCCATGAATTAAAGCAGCATGATATTTCAGTCTTTTCCCCTTACTTCTCTGCCAGCGATGTACAATGCCTGCCGGGATGTGGAGGCCCCCTCAAGTAATGTCAAAGCCCTGGGACTCCTGTGTGGGAAGGAAGCCAAAGCTTGCAACGCCACCAACTGGATCGAGTACATGTTTAATAAGGACAATGGCCAGGCACCTTTCACTATCATACCTATTTTTTCAGGTAGGGATAAAAAGTCCAAGTTCCTTGTATGTGTGCTTTGTTTTAAGACCAGGAATCTTACACTGAAATAGGAAGATAAACAAACTCAGATAACTAGTTTGAGAGTAACTGGAGTGAGAGAGAGAGTAACTGGGACACTGTTCCTGCCCCAGGTCAGTTTAGGGGTCCAGGAGTGGGAGGAAGAGGAATTAGTTGAAAGAATGAGCTTGGGTTTTGTTATTTTATTTTTTTTAGTTTTTTTTGTGGGATCCTTGCTGGCGGCCGGGGAACGAACCGGCGCTGCGGAGGCTGTGGGCAGCCTCGTAGCCCAGCGCTCAACCGCTGCGCCACCAGGGTTAGCCCGGGGTTTTGTTATTTTAAGGCCAGAAAGCTCATTACAGAGATCTTTTCAGGATCTCAGCAATAGGGGTAGATTAGTTCCTCAATAGAGGTATGATAGATTTTCCTTGGGATGTGGTCCACTGGGATCTCAGTGGCAGAAGCCTATGCACAGGGTTATCAAGGTGACTTAAAATTACAGGGCTAAGTAGCAAAACATCTAATCAAACAAAAACCTGGCATTGTTTCTCCTCTTCCAGTTGTGTTATGTATGTGGTGTGCTTATTGTTGGGTTTAAAGATGATATAATACAAAGTTTATAAATTTTGGGGAGATAGTCACTTAATGCAACCCTCCTTGCAGACTCTGAAACCCACGGGATGGTACCCATGAACAATGCCACCAAGGGCTGCAACGAGTCTGTGGACGAGGTCACGGGACCATGCAGCTGCCAGGACTGCTCAGCTGTCTGTGGCCCCAAACCCCAGCCCCCACCCACTCCTGCTCCCTGGAGAATCTTGGGCCTGGATGCCATGTATGTCATCATGTGGATCACCTACATGGCATTTTTGCTTATGTTTTTTGGAGCATTTTTTGCTGTGTGGTGCTACAGGTAAGCAGTTTTGTTTGTTTTCCAGGACAAGAAGGGCAAAATTACCCACGCGGCTCCTCCAGCTTTCACATAGTAGGCCTCAATTGGAACAGGAAACAAATGTAACCGTGCCCTGTATTAGGACATTTAGGTTGATGGACTGCATATACTCCAATGGCCCCAGTATCTCGCCTAAGTGTGTAGTAGGCTGTCCCATCTGGGGTGGGGGGGGGGGGTGTGAGTACACTCTGTGACACTCACACAGTGAGGAACTAGCCAGCAACACATTTCTCAGAATATATCCCTGTCATTAAGCATACGACTGCATCTTCATTAATACCATTCCATGAATGCTTATGTTCTGCAAATAGTCAACAAAGGCCTGTTTAGACATTTAATCTTTGGAAGTGGTTTTATTGATTTATTCGAAATGATGTTTTAAAGCACGGTGCATTAACCACCCATTCTTCAGCAGAAACTCTTATTGGCCCAATCTGATTCTATTTCAGTGTAGTGCTATGGTCCTTTTAGATATTTGTATCTTGATTTATCAGGATAGTACATTTTTTTAAACTTCTTATTTTGAAATAGTTTCAGATTTACCAAAAGGCTGCACAAGTAGTATAGTTTATACATATATCCTATACTCAGCTTTCTCTTATGTTACAACTTATATCACCCAGAGTGTATAACCATCAAAACCTAGAAAAATAACACTGGGATAATTAAACCACATTTTTTTGTTCAAATTTCACCCATTTTCCCGCTAATACTCTTTTTGTTTCAGGATCCCATTGACATTCACTTTTTATGTTTTATTAGTCTTTATTGTCTAATCTATGACAGTTCCTTAGTCTTTTACAGTCTTGACATAAATATTTTATGGATTATCCCTCACTTTGGCCTTATCTGATATTGTCTCATGATTAGATTGTGTTTTTCACAAGACTCTCAGAGAAGATAAGCCTTTCTCAGTGTGATCTCCGTATGTGTTGCTCCTAGTGACATTAACCTTGGTTAATATGATATCTGCTCGGTCTCCTTACTGTAAAGTTACTGTTTCTACCTTTGTTGTTGATCAGTATCTTAAGGTAGGCAGGTTGAGACTATGCTAATACCTTTTTTCTCCACAAAACTACCACCCACTGATTTTTTTTTTTTTTTTTAAGATTTATTTATTGGGCCTCCCCTGGTGGTGCAGGTGGTTGAGCGCAGTGCTGTGAAGATGTCCACAGCGTCTGCAGCGCTGGTTCGATCCCCGCTGGCCGGCGAGAATCCCACATGGCGAGCAGACCTCTCCTGTCTCCCACGCTGCTCCCCTCAGCTGTGTATTTCAGTCTGTCTGCCTGTTCTGCTCCCCACTCTGTCTCTGGTGAATCCTCTCACCCTCCCGCGCACCTGGCCTGTGCCCCGGTTCTTCTATGTATGAATAAATCTTTAAAAAAAATAATTTATTTATGTATACAAGAACTGGGGTATAGGCCAAAGGTGTGTGTGTGGGGGGGGGGTGTGTGTGAAAGGATTCACCAGAGATAGAGTGGGGAATAGAACAGCCAGACTGACTGAAATACACTGCTGAGGGGAGCAGCGGGCGAGTCAGGAGAGATCTGCTGCGCCGTGCGGGTAGCTCCCTGGCCTGGGATCAAACTCATGCTGGAGTGGCTGTGGAGAACTTCATAGGTTGTGTCTTAACCCCTTGTGCCACCAGGGAGGTCCCACCCTGGTGGGACCATCCCATGGGTCTTGCCTGCCAACAGCTACCACTGTGATGTTTACCTAGTAGGGTGTTTGTGTTTCCCTTCTACATTTACTAATTGACTTATTCTGTACAGAGTTTTCCCTCCTTCCCCACTTTCTCATTTGTTCAATTATGTTTACATCACAGAATTTTAAAAATTCTGTGGGCCTTTTCCAATACTATCATTTATTTCATTGCTTGTATTTTTCTAATTTTGGCCATTAGGAATACCTTCTGCTTGGTGCCTGTGTTTAACATGCCCCTACCTTTCTCAGACCTGTTACTTTCTGGCATCACAAGATTTTTCAGACTCATCTTTCTTAAGGACTGATGCTTCGAAACTAAGATCTAGCCACTTGATGTGCTTATTGCTACTGCAGTGTGGTGTTTACTCTGTTTTTAAAGGTCCTAAACCCTTTAAGTGTAAAAGGGCTACAAGGGGAAATTATCCTGTATTTTTAAATAAGAGCTTATTAATTTCTTAATAACATAAAATTTCTCCTGAGACTAGTGAGCAGAGGAACCTTAAGCAGGGGAACTGAGAGAAAGAAGGCAGTAATGAGGATTGAAGAAAAGGGGATGAGGAAGTATGCTTTTTTTTTTTTTAAAGATTTATTTTTTATTTATACAATAGCTGGGGTGCTGGCCAGACGCGCAGGAGGGTGAGAGGATTCACCAGAGACAGAGTGGGGAACAGAACAAGCAGACAGACCAAAAGCACTGCTGAGGGGAGCAGTGGGCGCAACAGGAGAGGTCTGCCGTGCCATGTGGGAATCTCCCTGGCTGACTGGGAATCAAACCTGCACTGCAGAGGCTGCAGAGAGCTTCACAGCGTTGTGCTCAACCCGCTGCGCCACCAGGGAGGCCCTGAGGAAGTAGGCTGTTAACAGGACTGTGGGGCTGTCAGAGCAGCCTTATCCTGAAGCCCACTAAAACTTCTTACATGCTTTCATTTTTCAGAAAACGGTATTTTGTTTCTGAGTACACCCCGATCGATAGCAACATAGCTTTCTCTGTGAACGCCAGTGACAAAGGTAAATACCTTTTTACTTACTTAAGGGTCCGGATCTGTTGGCATGAGAGCATTCATTTTGAGGACACAGCTGTGACCAAGACAGATAGAGTCCTCGCCTTTGTGGTAGTCATAGTCTAGTGTGGGTGATAGATGGGAATCGAGTGATTATTAATGCCATAGAATGGGTGTAGGCTGGGGTGAGAGCTGTGGGGCAGAGCAAGTGGGGCAGAGGATAGCAGCAACTTATGGGAGTTGCTAGGACAGAGTGCTCAGAGAACTTTGCCTTTCAGAGGCTTGTGTGTGAGCATCATTCCCCCTTTGGAGGGCTGAGGCAGGAGGGGAAGGTTGATGGTCATCAGGCAGGCAAGGAGGGTGGCTTCCAGTACAGGTAGGTAACTGAGAACCAGGGGGATATTGTTCATGTCCTGGTACATCATGACTCTTGCTACTAAGTTTTGTAGTAGCTAATGCTTTCCCTGTTCCAACTTCCAGGAATGGCTTGGCTCTTAACTGCTACCCTCCCTTCCTCTCCCGCTCTTCCAGGAGAGGCAGCCTGCTGTGACCCTCTGAGTGCGGCCTTCGAGGGGTGTTTGAGGCGGTTCTTTGCACAGTGGGGCTCTTTCTGCGTCCGAAACCCAGGCTGTGTCATTTTCTTCTCCGTGGCCTTCATTGTCGCCTGTGCTTCAGGCTTGGTTTTTGCCCGGGTCACAACCAATCCAGTCGACCTCTGGTCCGCCCCCAGCAGCCAGGCGCGTCTGGAGAAAGAGTACTTTGACACCCACTTTGGACCTTTCTTTCGCACGGAGCAACTCATCATCCAGGCCCCTAACACCCAGATACACACTTACCAACCATACCCATCAGGATCCGACGTGCCCTTTGGACCTCCGCTTGACAAAGAGATTTTGCACCAGGTAATCTGCTCTTTGCAAAAACCAATCCATGAAACTCAGTTACTTGCTGGCTTTTGACTAGTTAAATCACAAAAGATGTTTTTCCCATACTTTTCAAGAAGGAAAATGCCAGGTATTGAATTAATGAAAAATTACTGTGTACCACTTTGTATTTACTTTATATCACAGATCTTGTGTCTTTCTTGAAATTGAGGTGAGCATCTCTGTTGAATCAGAATGTATTTATTATTCATCTTTGGAACTTACAGAAAAATTTCTCTCAGTATTTGAAAAATAATATGCTGGGCCCCAGAAAAGAAGAAGCCCCTTAAGCTTTCTGGGGACTTGCTGGCTTGTTGCTGATCCTGCCTGCAGAATGAATGTTTCATTGTCTTAATGAAAGTGCCCTCCCTGCCTTTGGTGAGAGGTGCATGTGGAACAGATCCGCCCCATTCTCTTACAAAGACCTTTAAATCTTCCCCTTCTCCCCTGTCACACTTGCACCAGAGAACTGTATCTGTGAGTAAATGGCATTCCCCCCTTTTTTTAAGATTACAAACTAAAATTTTTATTGTGAGTTTTTGCTTTTGTTTTTTATTTTTTAAAAAAATCCTTGTTTGTTTTTTCACAATGTAGGACTTCTCCCCTTGGGTACAGTCACCACAGTTTTCCCACCACTAGTGCCCAGAGCCCCCCACCACACTCCACCACTCTCTCCTCACCACCCCTTTCTCTACTTGCCCTCTCCCCCATCCCTTTCCCCCTTTCTCCTGAATGTCTCAGATCTATGATCAGCTTTCAGGGAGTTGGTCTTACAGTTTGTCTTTGTCTGCTCTTTTGCTAGGTGTCTCTAGATTCCACATAGAAGTGAAACCATCCGGTATTTATCTTTCTCCTTCTTGCTCACTTTGCTTGTACTCCTGTGTTTATAGCAGCACTATTTACCACTTTTTATTTTTTATTATTATTTTTAAAGATTTATTTATGCATACAAGAACTGGGGTGTAGACCAGAGGTGCAGGTAGTGAGAGGATTCACCAGAGACAGAGTGGGGAACAGAACAGGCGAATCTACTGAAATACACTGCTGAGGGGAGCAGCTGGTGAGGCAGGAGAGGTCTGCTGCGCCATGTGGGTCAGCTCCCGGCTGGGGATAGCCGCTGCAGCGGCTGTGGATAGCTTTGTAGTGCTGCAACTTATCCCCTTGCACTACCAGGGAGGTCCCATAGTAATGTGGTTTTTCAAGGTGCATTGCACTTACCTATAGAAAGTTTGTAGAAAAGAAAATATATCAAAATGACCCCAAGACTGTAGAACCTTTTCTCCTCCCAATGACTCCCTGTTGCTTTTTCCCTGACTCATTGCCAAAGCTGCACAATATAGCGATTTACCAGTGTGTATTCTCTAATATTCACTGTTAGAAAATACAAAAATAAACATATAAATAGTCGCAGCATAGGGTAGTGCATTAGGTGGTATGTTGCTGGTAAAGAGAAATGTCAGGAAGACCAGGCAGATTGCCCCCATCCCCTTCTGTAGCCCTCCTGGGAGGGGAGAATACATTCCTGTGAACATAACAGGAAGAAGGGGAACATGTCTAGTTGTCTTGTATGAGATCTGCCCTGATCTTCCTGGTAGTGGTGTCTCCTCCTCATCTCTCTGGATTTCTAGCAGAGTCTGCGTTCTGATTTGCTGTTCTCTGAGTTGGACTTGGGTATTGTAAAATCCTTGGTCCTCTCCCCTATCTTAGAATTTCCCCCAAATATTCTTTATCTTCTGATCCCTCAGGGAAACAATAGTCAAAATCCAAGGGAAATTTGATGTGCTCCTGAGTTTACTTATTTTTTAAATCTTCTTTCAGGTTCTTGACTTACAAATAGCCATTGAAAACATCGCTGCATCTTATAACAACAAGACTGTGACACTTCAGGATATCTGCTTGGCTCCTCTCTCACCATATAATAATAACTGCACCATTATGAGCGTGTTAAATTACTTCCAGAACAGCCACACCATGCTGGACCACATGATAGGGGACGACTTCTATGTGTATGCGGATTACCACACACACTTTCTATACTGTACACGGTAGGTGAAGGGGGCGTTCATTCATCCCACCAATATTTGAGCACTTGCTGCAGCTACACATCCTTGTAGGTACTAGAGCCCTGAAATGAGCGGACGGAGCACACCCTGCAAAGCTGACACTCCGGTGGAGGGACACAGATGCTGAACAGACAGCTGTAGATGGGTGGAGAAAATAAAACCAGGAGAGGAGATAGAGGACAGAAGGGATGTCCTGCGTTAGAAGGAGAGCAGGCGGGGGGAGCCTGTGACTCTCAGAGGGAAAGTGTTCAGGTATACAAGCAGCCAGTACAGAGGCCTCGGCCAGGGAGCATCCATGCTACGTAACCAACTCCCTCTCAGCCTTTACCTTGAGCCTGGGCTGATAAATGAGTTGTGGCCTCTATCATGCCACCTCAAGTTTTTCTGAGCTGGTTTCATAATACAAACATAGAAGCCTAGAGTGTTTTTTCTCTCCAATGTAAATTAGACCATGTTATTGGATTGCTTTTAAAATGTGCAGCATCCTCTTAAGGACTAGGGTGTAGTTTCAATTGGAGGGACTACGGCCCCTCCAGCGGGGCAGGGTACAGGTATAAGAAGAATGAGTCAGAGCAGCTGTGCTGGGTGACCTATGATGTGATCTTCAACCTGTCCCCCAGCAGGAAGAACGGCTTGTGCTGGCTGGGCCTGCTGTCGCTGAATGGCCTGCCCTCAGCTGGCAAGGTCACCCGAGTGGAGACACTTGTTCAACCAGCCAGACAAGCACCTCGGCTGTTTCTTCATCTTGGAAACAAAAAAGTTATTCCTTGTTTCCTCTAACTGCCACTCAAGCACAGCTCAAGAACAGGGTGCTCCTGGTCCAGTTTGGTGACCTTAAGTTCTCTTTCTCTTACTGGGTTGACTCCTTAGGTAGCTGGGCCGTTCACTGTCTTGCAAGGAAGTCACTTAAAATCATGAACTCTACCCATAAACGGTAGGTGTCTGCCCACATACCTCAACCAGCCTCTCCTTAGGGTAGATGTACAGGGCAGCCATGGGCAATTTGATAAACAAAAATTAATCTCATTTTTATATTTAGAAGAAAAAAACTGTTTGCTTTCCATTTTACAAAAGAAAAGAAAAAATTTTGGTGACCAGGAAGATGCATGAGACTTATTTTATCCCAGGGTGAGAGACACACTGCCATCAGCAGCTTCTCTCCTGCATGACAGGGACCTGTGTTTGGCTTGTGGTTAAACGTGATTCTCCAGCTCTCACCTCTCCTCATCCTTCTCCTTTTCTGGGGCTTTTTCCTCTGGAGGTCCTGGAGGACCCACTAACTCAGGCCACCCAGAACCAAGCACTGACTTCCTTCCTTCCCCACACCTTTTGTATCATGCAATGCCACCAACATCCACCAGCTACTCAAACTTGAGCTGTCTCCCTGAATCCTCCTACTGGAATTCTTGTGGCTTTTAACTTCTGGGTAAAATCTCAAAGCCATCATGTGGTGTGGCACAGTCCCATCCATGTAGGATGATGGAGCTCAACTTCTGGCTGCAGCCTTGTGACCTGTTTGCCCAAGCAGGTGATCTGACCTCCTGGGCCCAATTGCATCAGCCCTTGACTCTGAAGGGTGGTTGCCTCAACTATATGCTAGAGCTAGAACTTCGAAAGTGTCCAGCAATGTTTGGCTTATGCTCTGTCCTGAAGGGCTGGTTCCTTCGCCACTGGTTATCTGTCTATGCTTGGTCGTCCCTTGCATGAGCTGCTGCACAGATCCTGAAGGTGGCCTGCCCCCTTTTCTTACCTATTTGCAGATCTCCTTTAACTTTGCCACCCCTGTTATCTGTATAAAAGAGCTCATAACATCCCTTTACCTCAAATCTTTAACTGTTCCCCAAACAAGTGTACCCCCTACAGGATAGGAAGCCAGACTACTTAGCATAGTTATTGATTCTTATTTTCATTGTCCCTCACCCTTTCTTTTCCAAGCTCATCCCCATTTCTCTCTCTCTCTCTCTCTCTCTCTCTCTCTCTCTCTCTCTCTCTCTCTCGCCCTTCATGGGCACCACATTTCCTACACATAAGATTCTTACTCTGTCCTCTTGCTTTCTACTCTCCAATGCCCATTCTCTTCTTTCTCCAACCCTCAGGATCGTAGTTGATTAGAACACCCTTATTTCCTCCCTCCCAGGCAATTTCTCCCTTGGCCTTAGAGCAGGTCTCTAGGGGCACAGTTTCCCTTGTATTAATTTTTCCCTCCTCTGGGTACCCTGCACCGTGTGGTATCAACCACTTTGTGCTATATTTATCTGCCTCTTGCTCAGTTATTCTGAGCCCCCATGGCAAGTGCTGAACTGTATTTCACCTAAAGAACTTCAGGGCCCATGTTGTGCTTAGAATATAATCAACCTCATTAACTGTTATATAAATGTTTAGATCTCTGATGTCTTCAGACTTATTCTAACAGGAAAGTGTTTTTTAAATTCACAGGGCTCCTGCCTCACTGAATGATACAAGTTTGCTCCATGATCCTTGCCTGGGTACTTTTGGAGGACCTGTGTTCCCGTGGCTTGTGTTAGGCGGCTATGATGGTAAGAGTAGCTTTTTCCTATTAGATGACGTGGCCTTGGTTTTGTCATTAACAGTTGAGAATAATGATGACTATTTCATAATTTGAGCAGTCTTATTAATTTCCTAGCTCTTAATCCCAAATGTAGTATCTCCTTTTGGTTTTGTATTTGGGTTTCATTCTGGTTTTAAAATAGGTGGATGGTGTTAGCCTTTTATGGATCACACTTGGGGAATCTGTCAACAACTAAGGATATTTTTCAGAATAATGCAATTCTGCACATCCACATAATGTTAAGGAGATCATGGGGCCCTTAAAACTCATCTGTAGCACCCTAGGGAGTCTGAGAACTTCAGGGTAACATCTGTCATGGGGAAGAAATGATATATGAGATATGGGGAAAAGAAAAGAATTGATGGGGTTTTTTTTTTTTTCCCTGAAACAGGTGGTTACGAATTCAGACCCATTTTTAGTAGGAAGAGCAATTGCTTTGCTCTTTGCTGGTCTCTGTGGCACCTTGGAACAGATTCTACTAGGTGTCCTGGGGTAATGACTCATGGGACAACTCTGCATCTGAAGCCTAATTAGAGGCAGTTCAACAGGTTTTTCTCCAGCCTAATAAAGAGATCAAATAGTGTCCTTCCCTTCACCCAGTGGGATAGGAGAAGTAGTGATTTGTCTTTAATTTTTACTCTGCCTCATATAATAAAATACCATTCTAATTAGTGGGGGAAGGATGGCTAACCACAGACATCAGAATTAAATGTGATTTCTTCCTTATTCTTTCCACTAAAATAAACTCCAGGAAAGTCAAAGATTGGAGTGTAAGTAATGAAACTATTAAAAGAAGTAGAAGAAAATATAGGAGGAATTTTAAAAATAATTTTAAGATAGAAAAGGCATTTCTAAGCAAAACCTAGAAGCCACAAAAGGAAACACTGATGAGTTTGACCACATGAGAATTTTTTCTTCCATATGAGAAACTTAAATTCTGTGTGAAAAAGTGTTAAATCGCAAAAGAAAGGCAACAACCTGAAGGAAAAAAAAGTAGTGTACTTAACAGATAGAATTTCCTTAATATATAAAATCTGCTTGTAGAAAAAAAACAAATGTCAACAACCCAAAAGAGAAGTGCATGAAGCCATACGATAACTTTGAGAGGAAATACGAAATACCTTTTAATTATATGGAGAAAATGTTCACCCTACTCTTAACTAGTGAATTGTATCTCTCATCAAACTTTCTACATGCTATATTGGCAAAGACCTAAGAGTATGACAAAACCCTGTATGGGTGAAATTGTGGGAAAGTGCTGGAAGTATAAATTGGTTACTAGAATGCAAGATTTTTACTTTATTGTTATATCCTTAGTACCAAAATAATGCCTGGCACAAAAGTAGGCCTCTACAAATATTTTGTTCCTTAAAGAAAAAATAGACTAGCCTTTCTGGACGGCAATTTGGAAGAATCTATCAAAATTGGAAATGCACATCTGTTTTGATTCAGTGACTATACTTGTAAGAATCGATTCCACAACTATGTATTTTACATATTTAGGATATCAGGTTATTCTTTGTAGTAATTTTGTTCATCAGTTTAAAAATTGCAAAATTGTCCATGAGTCAAACATTAGTTAAATTATACTAGAAGATGTTATATGGCAAGAAAAAAGAATAGAAAGTTCTGTATGTATTAAAATGGAGCTCTCTCAAGATACCAATTGGAAAGTGCAATGTGCAAAACTGTATGTTACTGTTTGTGTGAATCAGAAGGGTGGGGGAAGAGAATATATGTGCTGGTTGTTAGTTATCTTTACAAATAGTCAGAGATGGTCACAATGGGGAGAGAGGAACTGAGATCGAACCGAGCCTGAGAAAGGAGACTTTCCACTGAGACCTTCTGCTCTTTGAAATTCTTATTATACACGTAGTGTGTAGTGTGTTTAAAAAAAAAAAAAGTGACTCTTCCTGAATTGTAACTCTGCCAACTTCAGACAGAGACTCTTTTGTATTCACTAACTGAACTACACAGACCTGTTTGGGAGACTCCTGTTTGTTCTTGGAGCACGGGGATATATAATCCATGCCCCCAGTGAGAAATCAAAGTCAACCGGATGTACTGTGATTACCCTTTGTATTTGCCTGATTATCCACACACATGCACTTTTTGATGGCACGTTTTTCCTTCCTAGATCAAAACTACAATAACGCCACAGCTCTGGTGATTACCTTTCCTGTCAATAATTACTATAACGACACAGAGAAACTCCAGAAGGCCCAGGCCTGGGAAAAAGAGTGAGTCATTCACAGGGTCTAAACAACCTGTATTTGTTTTGTGGGGAGCTGGACACTTGCAGAAAACACTTGAGTTTCATTCAGCTAATTTAACCAACATCAAATCTAAGTTATATTATTATTTTCCCTTGGTACTTATGATGCTAAGGAAAATTCTGTAGATGAATTTGCCTGTAAACATTGTTCTAACAGATATCCCTGCACAAGAATACAAAAGTATATATGCAGCAATATTCCTTGCTTCATATTCTAGGGGGAAAAAATGAGAGCAGTCTGAATGTAAGGAATAAATATAGAAAATTATGCAGTCTTTAAAGGTAGGTAAATAAATGGCTCAATATGTGTGAAGCAAAAACTGCAGCCTTTTGGCCAAAGCTGTTATCTTCAGTCATTTACCAAAATGACCAACACAAAGGAAAAAGGAGCAGCAGCTACTATATGTTCTCTAGACCTTTTAGGAAACATGGAGCTGCTCCTTGGGTCGCATACATGCAGGTCTACAAAAAAGGTGATACCATAGACGCTGAGGGAGTGGGCACTGTAAAAAAAAGAATGACCCACAGATGTTACCGTGGCAACGCTTAGCCAGTCCACAGTGTTACCCAACACACTGCTGGCACTGCTGTAAACACACAAGGGCAAGATTCTTACCAAAAAAATCAATGTATGTATTGAGCAATAGTAAGCACTGTAAGAGCCAAGAGAGCTTTCCGAAACGTTTGAAGGAAAATGATCAGAAAAAGAAGCCAAAGAGAAAATCACTTGGGTTCAACTGAATAGCCAGCCTGCTCTACCCAGAGGCACGCTTGTGAGAGCTGGTGGGGGGAGCTGGCATGCAAGGACCCTTTCCCACTGAATTCATGGCCTGATAGGGATAAAAAAAATTAAAGATCTCTGGACTCTTAAAAACAAACAAAAACTACAATCAGCATGTTTAGGTAAATACATGCCATTTCTCTATGTACAAAATAAACAATGACCCGGGAAAGTAACGGCTGGTAACTTCCAAAGAATGGGAGGAGAGGGCTGGGGACCTTGACTTTACCCTATACTCTTCAGTATTTTTTTTTTTTTATGATTTATTTATTTATTTATTTATACAAGCACTGGGTACAGTCAGAAGCCCGGGAGGGTGAGAGATTTCACCAGAGCCAGAGCGGGGAACAGAACAGGCAGACTGATGAAATACACTGCTGAGGGGAGCAGCGGGCGGGACAGGAGAGGTCTGTCACGCCATGTGGGACCCTCCCTGGTGGCCAGGGATGGAACCGGTGCTGCAGAGGCTGTGGGCAGCTTCACAGCCCAGCGCTGCGCCACCAGGGGAGGCCCTGTTTTTATTTTTTAAGATTGATTTATTTATACAAGACCTGGGGTACAGGCCAGAGGTGTGGGAGGGTGAGAGGATTCACCACAGATCAAGCGGAAAGCAGAACAGGCAGACGGACCGAAAGCACTGCTGAGGGGAACAGGGGATGAGACAGGAGAAGTCTGCCACGTCATGTGGGTATCTCCCTGGCCGGCCTGGAATCGCACCCGTGCTGCAGAGGCTGCAGACACCTTCACAGCGCTGCGCTCAACCCGCTTCACCACCGGGGAGGCCCCAGTATTTTTTTAAAAAACAGTTTTATTGGGATATAATTCTTACACCATGTATTTTGCCCATTTAAAATGTATAATTCAATAGCTTTTGGTGTATAACATATTTAGTATTTAAAATCATATAGTATTTGGTACATATACAAATTAGCATATTCACAGACTTGTGCAAACATCCCTACAGTCAATATTAGATTTTCTTTACCTTTAAAAGAAACCCCATATCCTTTAGCTGTCCCTTCCCCATTCCTCTCACCTTCCTACCCCTCCGCCCTGTGCAACCACTAAAATTTTCCTGTCTCTGCCGATTTTCTTATTCTGGAACTTTATGTGAATGGAATCGTATACATGGATTTTGGTCTCCGGCTTCTTTCCCACAGCATAATATTGCTATGACAAGTTGTGGCACATGCCAGTACACTGCATTCCTTTTAATAAGAATGGAATATTAAATAACATTCCACCCTATGGAAATACATTATCTTATTTATCCTTCAGTTGATGCACATTTGGGTTGTTTCTGCCTTTGGCGGTTGTGTATACTGCTGCTACAAAGATTCGTGTGCAAGTTTTTGTGTGGACATGTTTTCATGTCGCTTTGGTATATACCTAAGAGCAGAATCACTAGGTCGCAGAATTGCTAGTTGTTTTTGACGAACTTCAACCTGGCAGCTTAGTGACCATTTCCAAAGTGGCTGCACCATTTTACATTCCCACCAGCAGAGTGTGAAGATTTCAAGTTCTCTGTCTCCTCACCAACCTTGTTATCATCTGACTTTCTGAATGTAGCTGTGGCTATGAAGTGGCATCTCATTGTATTTCTTTGATTTGCATTTCCCTGGTGACTAATGATTTCAAGTATCTTTTCATGCACTTACCATTTGTATAAAACTTCTTAGAGGAATATTTATTCCTATCCTTTGCTATTTGCATTTTCATAATTGAGTTATATAAATTCTTAATGCATTCTACATAGTCGTATAATTCAATAATTAAAAAATAAGACCCCTACCAGATATATGATTTTTCCAGTATTGTCTAACATTCTTTGGAGATTTTTTTTTTTGGGGGGTGGGGAGAGGGGTACTTTCTTGTGTCCTCTGAAACACAGCAGTTTAATTTTGATGTCCAATTTATTTTTTCTTTTGTTACTTGTACTTTTGGTATCATAGCTAAGAAACCATTGCTTCATCCAGGGATGTGGAGATTTTACATTTGTGTCTTTGTCGAGTTTTAAAAATTTAGCTTCTACGTTATGTCTGTGATCCATTTGAGTTAATTTTTCTGTATGGTGTAAGGTAAGGGTTCAATTTCATTCTTTCGCATGTGGCTATCCATTTGTCCCAGACCATTGACAAAAGCATTCTTTCTCCCATTTTATAATTCTTCCTACCCTTGTTGAAAATTAGGTGACCACGAATACATGATTTATTTCTGGATATTTATTTCTTGTTTCTTTGACTTTATGTCTATCCTTGTGCCTATACACACTGTCTTAAGCTGTTGTTTTTTATTAAATTTGAAATGAAGTGTGAGTCCTCCTACTTTGTTCTTACAAACAAAGATTTTGACTTTTCTGGGCCCCTTCCAAGTCTGTGTAGATGTTAGAATCAGTTAATTTTTCTACAAGGAAGACATCTGGGCTTCTGTTAGGGATTGCATAAAATCTGTAGATGAACTAAATTTTTGTTCCATGAATTATATAATTTATTTAGAAATCATTTTTATTAAAAAACAAATGGGGCCATGAACCAATTTTTAAACTTGTTCTAAGCCTGTTTTAAATGGTAGGAAAATCAGCATATCTGGGAATGTCTTTCCTTTTAGTCTGCAATGTAAGAGTCAAATGGGAAATAAAAGTGTGGTTTTTATGTAACAAGTTGGGAAGAAGCCTTTCACTAAGTTTTAACTAAAAATATAAAATTCTCCTTGCTCTTTAGGTTTATTAATTTTGTGAAAAACTATAAGAATCCAAATCTGACCATTTCCTTCACTGCTGAACGAAGTATTGAAGATGAACTGAATCGTGAAAGTAACAGTGATATCTTCACTGTTGTAATCAGCTATGCCATCATGTTCCTGTATATTTCCATAGCCTTGGGGCATATCAAAAGCTGTCGAAGGTTCCTGGTGAGTGCTGTGTGTGTGTTTTAGAAGTGACCTTGGACAAAAATGTTTCATATTTTTACCTCTGTTTAATCTTAACTCATATTCAAAACTGTCCTCAAATTCTTTTAAGTATGTAACATTTTGTATTCCCTGCATTTGTTTTCTTCAGTTCCAATTTTTTGCTTTATCATCAACTTAAAACTTTGCACAATCCAAATTTTTCTAATTTATATACCCCGTCATCTCAGAATAGAAGTTCACAAAATATATTGCTGGGGAAGACATCCACAGTATCTCCTCTCAAACATGGAATTCCACTTCTAACTCTGGATTGATTATACCCATATAAACTGGTAAAAATGAGGACTTTTTAGTCACAGGACAGAAACCCCCGTATCTCACGAGTTGTGTCTTTGTTGAATCTCCCAGGTGGATTCTAAAATCTCCCTCGGCATCGCGGGTATCCTCATTGTGTTGAGCTCAGTGGCATGCTCATTGGGCATCTTCAGCTATGTTGGGATCCCCCTCACCCTCATCGTGATTGAAGTCATCCCATTCCTGGTACTGGCTGTTGGGGTAGACAACATCTTCATTCTGGTCCAGACCTACCAGGTACATTTTTATAATCCTGGAGTGTGGTATCCCACCAAGGACTGAGCTCCAATAATGACTGGCTCCCTATAGAGTGTTTGTGTGTTTCTTATTGGCATGTGACTTTTTATGGACATTTTGGGACCAAGAAGTTCACCCCTCTCTTTGGTTATAGCTATTGGCAGAACAGATATAAAATGAGAATCTGGTTTTAAATATGTGCAACATTGTATGTAAAAAAGGGTTAATATTTTGTGTGCAACTGCTATTAAAATGATTCTTGTCATAGTGTAAAAGAATGAAAGATTGAAAAAAAAGATTTGTCAGAGGAGCCACTAAAAAAAGGTAAAAGGTCACTATAGGACCTGCTGATTATACAAAATGATCTCAAGAAGTTAGTTCTTCCAAGGACCCTTGTCCTGTAGCCCTTACTTGCATGGAAACTTAGTGGCTTTTAAGAGTGTCATTTAATAGTCCAATCACCTGCAGCCACTTTCCATGTATTTTTCTGATAGTGTGATCCAGTCTTTCCTTGAAACTTCTTACCTATTAACCTAGCTCACGGCTTTAAAATATTCTGATTGAATTAACATGAGAAGTTTCAACTCTCCTGCCAAAGTTGATATACAATAAGTAGATGCTGCTTTATCACTGAGTTAACACAGGTCAGCAAAGAAACAATGACGAGGTATTATAACTGAGAAATTTAATATTGCTTGTTGTGTTTTTTTAAGAGAGACGAACGTCTTCAAGGGGAAACTCTGGACCAGCAGCTGGGCAGGGTCCTAGGAGAAGTGGCTCCTAGTATGTTCCTGTCATCTTTTTCAGAGACCGTGGCGTTTTTCTTAGGTAATTGCTTTTGAGTCATACCAATCCAGTAGTTTGCTGAGCCTGAGGATAGAAGAAGCCCGAGTGTTTGAATATGCCCTCTGTAATTGAAGACTTTATTTTGGAAATTGTCAGAGTGAACCAAAGAAAAATCGGTAACAATGTCTAGGATCTCATTTAGCAAGTGTCTTCTTCCTCACATTGTTTCAGACAGTATTGATGTTGGGGTCCAAATATCTAGACTTCTCTACCTCTTCCCCTTTTTTGGCACCCATGGCAAACATTGATATTTGCAAGAGCGTTCTTGCATAGCCATGGAATCCTTCTCATCACTACACTGAGCAGCAGTTCCAAAACCCATAGGCATTTCTTGCACGATGTTTGCTGTTGTTGTCAGCAGCAGACTTCCTCCTCTCTACACACAGTTCATTGGGGAAGCAGCCTCATTAATGAGCAGAAGTTCTGGATCTTCCCTCAATACTGGAGCCAGAACAAATTGAAACTGGTATATTTTTCTTTCATGTGAAGAAATCAACTAGCTGTACTAGCAGGGCTGTCTTACTACTGTGTAGCCTGCGGTAAGAGAATACTGACTACATCTTCTAAAGAGGAGGCCAGATTAGAGTCACCCAGCAAGTCCAGAGAAGAAGAGGGTCACAAATGGAAATGCGTGTGTGGACCAGCAGGTCATCTTGCCCAGGACCTTCATAAGAACATCATAGGTTGTCATCTGTCAGCACAGACTGTTAGCATAATACTCCTCATTTCCAGAAAGCAATGTGCTTTGAAACCTGTGGTCCTTACAGTTCCTTTTGATGGTTACAAATGAGAAAAAAAGTACTTCCTCTTCGTACCTCTATTATAAGAAAACCATTGAAAGTGGAATGATAATAACAGCTGGCATGTGCCTCAAGGTTGGAGTGACTTTCAGGGAGACAGTAGCAACAGTGGGGTCTGTGGCACCCAAAGTGTACAGATCGCACCTATAAAAGGTAGCTCTGTGTTGCTGACCCAGTGCTAGGTCCAGTTGTTTTTTTAAGTAATATTGTGTATCTAGGTTTTTATGAAAAATTTCATTGTTTAATACTGGCTCCTTATTTTTTAAAAATGATGAATTTTAATCCTAAAATGGGTTGATACAGTGTTGGTCAAATAGGATACATCTGACCTACAGGCTTCCAACTTTCAATTTCTGAGTCAGCCTGGTGATTTTGACTTGGAGTTCCTTCATTCAATTTACTGAAGTACTGGTATTGTTGCTGTAATAGCAGGTGCAAAATACTACCTCTTTTAGAGTGAAACATGGAAGGTAGTGTAAGAAATGGCCTCTGTTAGTGGTTTTCAAACTTTACTGTGTATATATACGCTTGAGAGCCTGTTTAATGTAGTAGACTAGAGTTGAATTCCCGCTGACTTGATTAAATAGGGTGGGGCTCAGGAACCTGCATTTCTAAGTTCCCAGATGGTTCCAGTACTGACCCCAGTTTGAAAAACGCCAAACTTGCAGACTCTTCTCCAGTTCTGGTGTGACATTCAGACTTTTGCAGCATGCCTTTGTGCGAGGGAGAAGGGTCTTCCCGTGAGTGCGGCCTGTGTGTACATGTGTCAGGCAAGAGCCTGTGAATGGAGTGACTCAGCAGCGCTTCTCCCCCTGCAGGAGCCTTGTCAGTGATGCCCGCCGTGCACACGTTCTCTCTGTTTGCGGGCATGGCTGTCTTCATCGACTTCCTTCTTCAGATTACCTGTTTTGTGAGCCTCCTAGGGCTAGACATTAAGCGGCAAGAGGTAAGTGGTTATCAAGGTCACAGTCTCTTTCATTTGAGTCTAGAGTCTAGATGAAGCAACTGAGGCTGTGACCTTTGTTCCTCTTTGTCCCCTCAGAAAAACCAGCTGGACATCCTTTGCTGTGTCAAGGGCGCTGAAGATGGCACAAGTGTCCAGGCCTCTGAGAGCTACTTGTTTCGGTTCTTCAAAAACTCCTATTCTCCATTTCTGCTTAAGGATTGGATGAGACCAATTGTGGTAGGAGCTTTTATGTGTATTTTTGTTGTTGGTTTTTGGTTTTGTTTTTTTTTTTTTTCATTTTCCCCCACAAAATAGATGGTCATGTACCTTCTAAGAAATCAAAAGGCCTAGGAAGGAGCTTCTGACAGCTTTAGGTAAATATAGTAATACAAAAGCAAGGATGTACAAATATAGAATATTTCTAGCTTGTTTTCAGCGAGAGTTTTCATTTTTAAGTGTTTGTTTGAAAATAATTGTCTGTTCATAGGCAATTGCAAAGGTAGTACAGGAAGGACTCTAGGAACCTTCTGTCTAATGTTTTCCTTTAGTCCTACATGATTATAGTTCAGTGTCAGAACCAGGAATTTGATATTGTCACAATCTGTGTCTAGTTCTGTGTCATTTCAACACATGTGCAGGTTCATGTAACTACCACTGCAGTCAAGACACAGAACTGGCCCATCCCACAGACTCCCTCTGCTGCCCCGTAGTGTCACCACCTCCCTCTTACTTTACCTCTCCCTATCCTGGTCCCCAGAAACCTCCCCCTATCCTGGTCTCCAGAAACTGTGCAAGAGTGCTGGGTATAGCCTACAGTGATAATCTGTCACTTCTCTACTAAAAAAGAATATAAATTAGTTTTCAGTTAAACTAATACCTAACATTTGAATATTTAATGTCAGATATATATTGGGTACTATGCTAATATTTGAATTATTGCTAGACTTTTCTCATTTAACTCGCAAACCCATCTGATGTTTTAAATCTTATTTTTCCTGTTTTATCAGTGTTGAAAGGTTAAGTGACCCAGGCTACTAAGCTTATAAGCAGTTAAGCCAGGATTTGAATCCAGGCAGTTTGATTCTAGATACTGTGATCTCAGCCTCTACCCATAGTCCCTGATTTCTTAGCCTGTCACTTAAAGTTGGTTTTTAGTTTAGAAAAGCCTGTTTCTTGTGTTTGAGATTTTATGTTCCTAAGGTCATTATAACAAGCAATCACTGTCTTATAACTCACTTTTCATTCCAGATAGCAATATTCGTGGGTGCTCTGTCATTCAGTATTGCCGTCCTGAACAAAGTAGAGATTGGATTGGATCAGTCCCTTTCAATGCCAGATGTAAGGTGCTTTCTTTTTTATTTCACCTCAGCCAGTGGTGAATGAATTTTTCAAAACTTACATGTGGGTGTTCAAGCTAATACCCACTTCCAAATAAAGACACTGATAGGTACTTCCCTGTTATAAGAGCTCCCACCAAGCCCTGCCAGTGTGGGCCTTGGCATTCTGAGCTCTGAGACAGCCTCTGGGGCATAGCCACAGAATACAAGCAGCCAGTCTTTTACCTTGTGAGGTGCCCACCTAATGGTAGGGCCAGTCAGAGGAGCAACCTGCACTTGGGGGGTGTGGGGGGCCAGCTATGTGGAGAATCACTAACCTGGCCTGTAGGCACCTCGACCTAGAGCCTTCCAGTGCCCTCCTAGTTATCAGTGATCCTCATCTTGCTGAAGCACCTCAGATCATTCATTCATGCCCTGTCCTGTGATTTGGTCTTTCAGGACTCCTACGTGATGGATTATTTCAAGTCCCTCAGCCAGTTCCTGCACGCAGGTCCGCCCGTCTACTTCGTCCTGGAGGAAGGGCACAATTATACTACTTTGAGAGGGCAGAACCTGGTGTGCGGGGGCATGGGCTGCAACAACGACTCCCTGGTGCAACAAATCTTCAACGCAGCTCAGATGGAGAACTAGTCAGTGCCGCCCCATCCTTGTGTCCTACAGGCAAACTATCTGAAGGGTCAAATCTGGCCTGAAATTTCTCACTGGAAATAGATTTTCTTAGAAATGTATTTTTTGACATGTGTACTAAATCTGACTTTACCTGAGGAAAACCTTTCAAAGGGCTGATTTGCCATTTCAGACTGAAGGTTTTCAATTACATACTAATGTACTTTGTCTTTTGACTGGGTACCAGTTTAAAATCCAGAAGGAGGTTTCAAGGACTGAAAGTAAAGACTTCCTCCTTGTGGCACAATTAACTGCTCTTTTTCTGCTCCTTTTGTCTAGTTCCCGAATAGGCTTTGCTCCCTCGTCATGGATTGATGATTATTTTGATTGGATTAAGCCCCAGTCTTCTTGCTGTAGAATCTACAATAGCACTGATCAGTTCTGCAATGCTTCAGGTATTTTCATCTCCTTTTCCAAATCTTCTCCGTTTTTCTGAAATATCTTTAACACTGTGCAGTCAGTCTTGACTGAACATTATCCATATGTTCTTGAAGACTATGAATGTAAGAAACAAACAAGGTATAAGGAAAGCAGGTCCTCTAATAACTAATTGTTTTATATGCACCAGTGTTGTAACAAAAGGAACAAAATGCTGAGGCCCTGGTTCTCATTGACCAATTATTTGTATTTCACATCTTATTTATGGGAAGTTGTTTTTTGTTTTTTGTTTTTTTTTAAGATTTATTTATTTATTTATACAAGCACTGGGTACAGTCAGAAGCGTGGGAGGGTGAGAGAATTCACCAGAGCCAGAGCTGGGAGCAGAGCAGGCAGAAGGACCGAAGTACACTGCTGAGGGGAGCAGCTGGCGGCAGGAGAGGTCTGCGCGCCATGTGGGACCCTCCTCCAGTGGCCGGGGAGCAGCCGGGGATCGAACCAGTGCTGCAGAGGCTGCGGGCAGCTTCGCAACCCAGCGCTCAACCGCTGCGCCACCGGGGAGGCCCATATTTATGGGAAGTGTTAGGCATATTTGTATGTCAATGCTAGGTCTCATTTCCTTTGCCATCATGCCTTTCCTGAAGGGATTCGTGCTCTAAAATGTTCCATTCCTGTTTTTCAGAAGCCCGTCCGGGGCTGCAGGCTGAACAAGGCCAGGGTCTTGGTTCTCAGAGCGCTCAGACTTTTCTCCTCCTTTCTCAAGACAGATTCCCTCTCTTGGTTGGTGTCTAGCCAGGGTGTCTCATAATTGTGCTTTTCTTGATCTCTCATTGTCACCCTGTGATGCTGTAAGAATGTTAAGGTTGTCCTGGAATTCTCTCCGATATTACCAAGGGAGGCCCGTTTTTTAATTTTTTTAAATTTATTTTATTTATTTATTTTTTGTGTGTGGGACCCTCGCCGGCGGCTGGGGAACGAACCGGCGCTACAGAGGCTGCGGGCAGCCTCGCAACCCAGTGCTTAACCGCTGTGCCACCAGGGGAGGCCCCGGGGCCCATTTTCAGAATAGGAAACCTCCTCGTGGAAAGAAAATTTGTACAGCCTGCTTTAGATTAGATGGCATCTCAGCTGGATTAGCCTGAAAATCACACATGTTTGAGGCTTTGGGATAAGGAAAAGGATTTAGGAAAACAGTACCCTTATTTCTTTATCAGTATGTTTAAGTTTTAAAATCTGGACACGCACCCTTTTCACCTTTACTCCTGCCCTGTTTCTGTAGTGGTGGACCCCGCCTGCGTGCGCTGCAGGCCTCTGACTCCAGAGGGCAAACAGAGACCTCAGGGTGAAGACTTCATGGCGTTCCTGCCCATGTTCCTTTTGGACAACCCAAACCCTAAATGTGGCAAAGGGTAAGTCCACTGACCCTTCAGACTCAGTTGCGTCCTCTTCCATTCAGACAGGAAAATGGGAGTGGGCTGGGGTAGAAACAGTTCAATGGACAAGACCCTTCTTTCCATCCCTCCCAACCCTGTCCTGATCATTCTGTAAAGGCAAAGAAACCTAAAACATGTGTAAAAGAAAACTTCATTGGATTCCACTGATTTCATTCTGGCCTGGCCTTTCTTTCTTGCATTTCTTTCAGTGTCCTGGCCCTCCCAGCAGTTGGAATGCATACAGATTCCTGTGCAGGGCACCAGCAGGGCGGAGGGGGTGCCAGGGGCACATGTAGCATTTCAGAATGTGAAGCGGGCTACCACTTGTGTCATGAGTGTGGGAGACAGCCCCTCTGATTTGGTGCCGTCATCCTAGAATAAGTGTCGTGTTTTAGCCACACGGTGCTTCTTGCCAGCCTGCCCATATATGAGGTTATGAGCTGTCTCACTCCCCCAGCCAGCCAGGCAGCCAGTTACCCATGTGAGCGGGATGTCTGGCCAGGAAATCTCGGTGGCAGGGGAGAGGGCAGGTGCATGTGATTTGGAGGCTTTTGCAGGATGACTCAGTGTCCGCACATTCTGAGGTAAACCCTGGACATCTCTGATTTGCTTGAGAAAACTGATTTGACCTGTCTTGTAGTTGCCACACCTCATCATCCCTGTGTTTGGGGACCTCTGCTGGGCACTGTGGGAAGACTATCTCTACCAATAAAATAAAAATGAATCTTACAGCTTGGTCTGCTTGCAGACTGAATGCTTTGGCCTACGTAAAATAAGTCAACATGAATTCAATGTTTATGAAGACAACAGCCTCCACTTATGGGAAACCACCTACTGCCAGTATTGTGCCAGGCACCTCACTGATATGACTTTACTTACTCCTCATGCAGCCCTGTGAGTAGGTGGTGGTGCAGCTGGCATGGAAGACAGTGCTGCAGCCTAAGTTCAGTAACTTTGCCTGGGATTCCATGACCAACATGGCAGGGCTGTGGGCTGTTGTGCAGCCATCTGACTCTAGGCCCGTTGCCCTTCCCTGCCTCCTGAGCAAACTGTAAGAAAACACATTCGATTGCAATTAGAGCCAGGTGTAGAAGCAACGGCAGCCAAAGCACCAAAGAAACCAAAAATAGACAAAGCCAGTGCGGGAGAGAACAAGCTAGAACCTTCACTGTTCCCTTGCAGGGTTCCTACCACGTCTCTGAAATTTACGGCAGGGTCTGACCTCTGAACCCAGGCTCCGATGGTTTCCCTTAGCCCTGAGTTCCCAGGTTCTGCAGATACTTACAAAACTTAGGCTTTTGACACCACTGAATCTTCTCTAGGGGTCATGCTGCTTACAGCTCTGCGGTGAACATCCTTGACAATAACAAGCGTGTTGGAGCCACGTACTTCATGACCTACCACACCGTGCTCCGGACCTCCGCTGACTTCATTGACGCCATGAGAAAGGCCCGCCAGGTTGCCAGTAATATCACCAAAACCATGGGCCTCGAAGATAGTACTTACCGGGTGTTCCCATACAGGTGAGTGCCATTTTACAAATGGGGATATCCTGGGGAGGGACGCACACCTTGGGCGTGCCCCTGGGGGGATGCTAATACTCAACTGGCATCCTGACACCTACAGGCTTCACAGAGAACACCTGAGCTGATATGCGTGGCCAGTAACTGATGGGTATTTTATGTGGGACTGTGCCTTCATGGAGATTTTTCTTTGTGTATTGGGGTTTTTTCCCCTCATAAAAATAGTATTATATATGAAATATAGAACTTGGAAAATACAGAAAGTCAGAAGAAACAGGTGATTTCCCCCACAGACATACCACATATGATCTTGCTTAAGGGCGGCCTGACCTGTTCTCTGCAGGGGGTCAGCCTGTTTTTCTGTGGAAGGTCTCACAGCAGGTGTCCCAATTCCTGGAGAGAACTGGTTAATTTCACAAAACAGGCTTTTTCTTTTTTTTTTTTTTTTCTTTTTTTTCTTTTTTTTTTTTTTTTTAAGATTTATTTATTTTTATACAAGAGCTGGGGTACAGGCCAGAGGCACAGGAGGGTAAGTGGATTCACCAGAGACAGAGCGGGGAGCAGAACAGGCAGATGACAGAAATACACTGCTGAAGGGAGCAGCGGGCATGACAGGAGAGATCTGCGGCACCATGTGGAATTCTCGCCAGTTGGCCGGTATCAAACCCGCACTGTCAAGCCTGCAGACAGCTTCACAGCACGGCGTTCAACCCACTGCGCCACCAGGGAGGCCCCAACACAGGCATTTTCTCCCCAAATCCTGCACACACCCCATTTTGTCCAAGGTAATTCTCAGGATAGGTCAGGACTTTTTTAAAAATACCGTGGAGTATTCCTCATGAATACCTATAAAGTAGCATAGAAGAAAATCTTTTTATATAAAATAAACATTTTGGATCATTGTTAGGCCCTTCTTTGGACATCAGTGACCATCAAGGATTGAATTGAAATCCTGTATATGAGTCTTGAGGCAGGGAGTCTCTCTGCAAGGGCTGTGTCTCAGAGGAGTTTCACAGTTTGGCAATAATGGCAGGAGGAAAACAAGAGTCCAGAAGTGAGAACAAGCTTTAACAGCCTCCTCCCTCCCCCGCAGTGTCTTCTATGTCTTCTATGAGCAGTACCTTACCATCATTGATGACACCATCTTCAACCTCAGCGTGTCCCTGGGCGCCATCTTCTTGGTGACCACAGTCCTGCTGGGCTTCGAGCTGTGGTCTGCAGTGATCATGTGTGTCACCATCGCCATGATTCTGATCAACATGTTTGGAGTTATGTGGTTGTGGGGCATCAGTCTGAATGCCGTCTCCTTGGTCAACTTGGTTATGGTGGGTCCTGGGCCTCTTGTTTTGTCCTTAACCCCTTTATTACGTGAATTGTTTCTTGGGATAAAATACCCAGTCCAGCTCTTGTTTTTGGTGCACACAGAGGCAGGATGAGGGCTCAGTGGAATAGAAATGAGGATAGTGCAGCTAACAATGAAACTATGATTACATCTGATCTCTGCCTTTATTATTCCTCAGGGTTTACAAAACTACATTGTCTAATGCTAGCAAGAATTTTTTTAATTTAGTCCCACCCCCAAAGTTCCCTGACCTTTTGCATCCTATTGCAGCTGTCAAGGACATTTTCATTGTTAAGTCTTAAAGATGCAAGCATTCAAGAAGATATTAACTGAAAATAAGAGTGCATCTGTACTTCAGATGTCAATGCTGGTTCAGGCCTTACTGCCCAACCACAGAAACAATGCGAGGGCCAGGCTTGGTAGGGGCAGGAGTAGCCTTGAGTTTTACTTCCCCTGATACAGGCAAATCTGCTGTAGAAGCTGGGGCATCGGGCTCTGGGCCTAGAGAGTTCCACAACTTTCCCCATGTCATGGAAAAGAGACTACCTCAAAGAGGATGCCTAGGGTGCCCTGGTTAACCACAGATCCTGGGGGAGGAATGGCTGTTGCTGTTATCAACTGGACAATAGCAGTAAAGGACACACTTCATTTCAGAGCTGTGGCATTTCCGTGGAATTTTGCAGCCACATTACAAGAGCGTTCACTGTAAGCGCGAAGGGGAGCCGTGTACAGCGGGCGGAAGAGGCACTCTCACACATGGGCAGCTCTGTAAGTAGCCGAACAGGATAATGTGGGCAGAAATGCCAACATAAAGTGCCTAGCTCAGCAACTGTTTCTCAGAAGGAAGTTTAGAAGTCAGTAAGGAAAATAGAACATGAATTATTAGCAGCGGTTTGTAAGGATTATAAATTTCAGGCAATTCATGAAATAGCCATATATTGCACAGAACTGAAATTTCTTAAAACTATTCCTGTTAGTGAAGCCTTTGTAGGAAGATGCATCAACAAAGTAGGAAAAGTTGGGGTCGAGAGAGCTAGAAGTCTTTTCTATTTAAACACGGGCCTCCTCAAAGCAAGGGATCCACAATAACCCAGAGCCCGCTGTGCAATTTTTAATGTTTAGAGAATCTTCTTGGTTTAATGCTCTATCCTTGTTTTTTTTTGCAGAATTACCAAAGCAATTATAGAAAATACTATTTTTAAGTAATTCTGCAAGGGGGTAGGGTCAGTCTTCTTACTTTTGACCTTAGCTATTAAGAAATGCCTGTGTGAGGACATGTTCAATTATAGGTTGATGAATCTGGTTTCTAACACCATCTCTTTTCTTTTAGGTATTCAGTGGAATCACACTAACAAAATTTGGAGGGATTGTGGTGTTGGCCTTTGCTAAATCTCAGATTTTCCAGATATTTTACTTCAGGATGTACTTAGCTATGGTCTTACTAGGAGCCACTCATGGATTAATATTCCTCCCTGTCTTACTCAGTTACATAGGTAAGAGCCCTATTTTAAACAGATGAGATACGAAGAAGCATTTTACCAAAGATTGTATCTTGAAGCATTTGAACTACTAATGATCATTTAATAAATAGAACTTAGTAAAAACATGAGAAAAAACCCTACCCAAAGGTTTCATGATTGTCCAGACTAAATTAGTAAACTGCTCACGATTTTCCTGGAGGCCTGACTCGTCTTCTGAACAAGACCGAGGTCAGATGTGAATGAGTCTGAAGGTCGGCGGCAGCCCCTCCCTGCCATTGAGAGGTGAATGATGGAGACCACCCAGCAGTGCCAGAGAACAGCTTGTATTTCCCCTACTGATTTACTGTCCTAGCAAAACACTGCCACTGCTACTCATCTCTTATTTTGAGAGCATCCTTATTACCTTTTACTTCTCTGGCCACTTCAGCTTCCATTAATGACCTGTGATTGAAAGGTGAATAGTACAAATTTGCTTGTTCTATAGCTTTGAACTTAAGTTGAAGCACTGAAATAGTTTGAGAAAATGAAGGGTTTTGTTTCTTTAGAAGTTCTGTTGTACAAACGATCTCTTTTTATCCCCCATAGGACCATCAGTAAATAAATCCAAAAGTTTGGTCACTCGAGAGCAATACAAAGGTACAGAACGTGAACACCTCCTAAATTTCTAGCCCTCTTATTGGCTCAGGGACTTTGAACTGTGTCTGCAGGTCGGTCAGTTTCCCGCTGGACAGTAAGTAGCTGCCCTGTCAAGGTGAAGTTGAAGGAACACCAGATGTTACCAAACGTGGGGCTATTTGAACAGCAGCAGCTTTGGCCATAGTGCTTTTAAACTCAGGAACGCAAACTTGTGAAGCAGTATTATGAAGTTGAAGGCAACCAGATTCCAATTCTCCAGGAGTGAAACCCGATTCTTCAGTAGGTGGAAGGTGACACTAGGATGACTATGAATGTGATCTGCTCACTGACACTTTTTAAAGGCCAATCAATGCTGTGTTTCTCCTTTTTTTTAGGAGTAAGCCATCCCAAGTTCTGTACCATATTTTAGTAACATTTGAGGATGTTGTAGATACAGTTTATTATAACATTTTATAGTTTAAAGAGCTTTATTAATGCAATAAATTAACTTTGTACACATTTTATATATATATATATATAAAAAGACAACTAACAAGCGATTTCAGAATGTTGTAGGCCTCATCAGAGCTTGGTCTCCAAAAACCTGTTTGAAAAAAGCAACATGTTCTTCACAGTGTTCTCCTGTAAAGGAAAATACAGATTTAATCCATTTGATGTGGCATGAAAAGAAGAAAAGCTGCGAATGAACTCTGTAGTTCATAGATGTGTGTACTGGGGTTTTAACTTATTTTTCTCTCATAAAATACTGTTTTCCTAAGCTTTTGAGTTGTCCTCTCTGTTCACGTGGCTCCTACCATTGCAGAACTGGCCAGATGCCTTCACAACCCCTAGCAAATTGCCACCTAACCTGTGGTGTAACATAGGCCATCCTGTGCTGTACACTAACTTAAACCAGAAAAATATATTCCTCTCCCAGCCTTAGAGTGGCTCATGAGTAATAAGCCCCAGCCATCTAAAACTTTTCCTGCCATTTCCTGATACTTCAGAAAGGGATATTCAAGGTGACCTGTGTCCAGACCACCTGATTTGGATCCTGAATCTCTCTACCTCAAACAGACTTCCACTGCAAGTTCCAGGTCATGAATTCAGAATCCACTGGCACAACAGCCACTCTTACTACAAATAGGAGGGCTCTTGAGCTAGATTTTCTAGAAACAAATTTCCCAAGAGTCCCCCTGCCCACAGGCTGCCAGTATTTTCAAGTTTGTAGTTACCTGAGGTCTTTTCATTGTGGCTCTGTTCTCACCTGGTGTGAAATTAGGGTTCCCTCGCAAACGCTGGTTTCGCTGTTCAAAAAACCGGAATATAGTATAGAAAAGCATGTTATCTTCAGTCTGCTTTGCTGCATCTAAAAATTTCCGTGCAGAAATGTTGTCGTGGCCACCAATGCCCCGGATAAACCTTAAGGCAGCTAACACTTGATGTTTGGAAAGAAGAACTTCTACTATTTCATCATTTGCAGTGGAAAGTCGCTAGAAGAGGAAAAGAGAAGTCTGAGTAAATACAAGGGACAGGCAGAATGCTAAGCAGTTTAAACCTTAGCTAGATCGGTCACCTTCAACATATCCAGGGACAGCTGATGAGCAGGAGGATAAAAACTTCCCAAGGATAACAGCAGACAAGCCTGAAAGACAAATTTTCAGCCTAGCTTCAGCATGAGAAGGTTGGAAGGTTAAAATTTTAAGTTTCTCAGCATAAGAGAAGTAAAATCTGATGATGCATACCAAAGGTTTTGAGTCACTGAGGACATGGTACTGCAGGAACTGGTGCAGCATGTAGAAGAGGTTGTGCTGGACCAGCGTCTTGATCACGAGTTCGTGTAAATAATGCTGAAGATAAATAAAGCAAAGACAGTCTCCAAGTGGCTCAGGTACAACAGACTAGGTTTGGGAAGGTGGAGGTATAACTGCAACTATCCTAACTGATGGGTAAAAGTTTGTCGTTGAGAGAGGTGGTTTAATATGCAGGTGAAAGAACCCCACTTGGCATGAACTAAGAACACCATGTTGGCAGCATTAGAAAGTCACCTAGACTCAGTCAGGTAGGCAGGTCCTTTAGCCAACAACTAAGCCATCTCCATTAAAAAAAAAAAAGTGCTGTCAATATCTTAATTCCCTGCTGCCATAAAACCTGGGACAAAAAAATGCTGATTTGATGGTACCTGTACTGTGATCTGAAACTGGTTGAGAGAGCGAATATATTCCATCAAAACAGATACCACAAATTTGTGAGGCATCTCCTACAAAGAAAAAAGTGATCAAAGAGACAGTTGCAAAGAAGCCTCCCAAAAGGAGGTTCCCCATTTACACAGATACACCTCCATTTCCACATTAAACTGGCCCAGTGTTCTGTTGCTGGTCTTACACAAATCCCTCTAAGATCCTCCCCACTTCGATGATGTTCAGGCCTGAGTATTAAGAACCAATCCACGAGCACTGGGTCCTCACCCGAGATACCTTGTCATTCTAATCACACAATGAGTTACTATTCCTCCCTTCCCTTCACATAAGATACTTGTTCTGAGACACTGTGGTTGAGAAGAGGCCAAGTTATCGGTCACCCACCTTCTTTTCCGCAAACACCGACAGGACATGGGTGTACATGTCCGACTGGTCTACCACGGCTTGGGTCCTCAGTGGCCTTTTGAGGAAGGGGCTGCTCCGGCTTTGCCCTGCTTCTACTGCCTAGACAATAAATAACAATTGTCATCTTAGTCCTCACCTAGGTAATGGTGAATCTGCAGTTAATCCAAAAAGACTGAATTTCAAGATGTGAACCTAAGACAGGAGCAGAGGATGGATGACATTATTTGGAAAAAACTTCCTTTGTTGGCTGGGTAAATGATTTAGGAAGTCAGATTTGTTCATTTTGAAAATACACCATTGTCCATGGATGAAACAAAAAAGTGTAAGGCAAAGGTTTCTCTTGAGGCAATTTTTTAACCTCTTAAGAAAATTAGGGAGTTAATCAGACTTTTAAAAAATGAAGTGGTTTCCTGCTTCTTGGTTCTGTGAAGCCCTAATCCTATAATAAGCAGATATCTGGATTTTTAAATGGTCAGCAAGACTCCCCAAATACGACTGAACAGGAAGGCTCTGTGAGAACATCTTGCCTCCTTCCCCTAACTTTGTAAAGCAGTTTAGACCAACACAGATTCTATAGGAGCGGAACCTGCATTTCTAAGCAGCTCCGGGTGCCCCACTGTGGTGGGCTGCTCTTAACAGCAAGGGTTTATAAAGCGCAGAGTAGCAACTGCCACTGGGATCAGACCTACTGATTCCTACTGTACTCTAGCAGGAAGCCTAAAGAAGGATCTAGAAGAGCTCAGCACTCCGTGTGTGACAGCGGGAGAGATAGACATGTATTCCCAGGTCACCCAGCCTTCAGTCCTCACCCTTGAGCAGCTAAAAGCAAGTGATTCTGGGGTTTTATTGTTTAAAACCACTTTAAGATTAATCAGATCCCTAAAGTGAATTTTTTTTTTTTTTTTAAATAGAGGCATGTTTTTATTTATTTATTTGTTTGTTTGTTTTTGTTTATACATGCACTGGGTACAGTCAGAAGCGCGGGAGGGTGAGAGAATTCACCAGAGCCAGAGCGGGGAACAGAGCAGGCAGAAGGACTGAAGTACACTGCTGAGGGGAGCAGCGGGCGGCAGGAGAGGTCTGCGCACCATGTGGGACCCTCCTCTGGTGGCCGGGGAGCAGCCGGGGATCGAACCTGCGCCGCAGAGGCCACGGGCAGCTTCGCAACCCAGCGCTCAACCGCTGCGCCACCGGGGAGGCCCTGAAGTAATTTATTATACTCGTCCTAAACTTTACTTCCTTCTAGCTTCAGAAGAGGTACTAAAAGTATTGCAGAACCTGGTCACTAATCATGTTAACTTTTTCCAGCCCATCATGACAAATACATGAGCCTCCTATATGAGAAGCACAGTGCTAACATTTAATCCTCACTATTCTAATAGGATATTTACTATATGTCAGGATCAGTCTTTTTTTTATAGTTACTGTATCCTCAAAGGAAAGGGAGCTAATGTGGCAAAATGGTTACATTTCTAATTACTGAATCTAGGTTCTGGCTTGGCAGAAAGATGTATGAAATAATGCAAAGGTGAGACTGATTTAGCCATCCAACAGCAGACAAGGATCTATGTGTAAGAACAGATTACAAATTCCCCAAGGATGAAGGCATCAAGTGACATGAGGCTTAAAGCTAATGGGAAGCAGGGCTATGGAATGTTCTGTTACCTCACTATGGCCCATAGCAAACCTTACTGATGTTTGTCAATCAGAATCTTGCATTCTAATTACTTAGAAAACATAGAGCACATCAGCTTACCATTGTATAACTCTGCTCAGCGTCCAGGTACCTTTTATACTCGTGATTGAGTTTGTCGAAAACGGTAGCTATTACAGGCAATGTAGCTCTGTCTGACTCGCTCAACACTGAAAAGAATCAATGTTCACACAGGTCAATGACAAATGTGTTGCTGTGGCCAAAATAATTAATCTCCGGGTTACCAGTGCAAACATACTTTTAAAGGATATTCAGAGAAATATAGAGACCTGAACCTAGGAATTACCTGCCAGCCCTTTCTGGTTACTAGAAAAAATGTAGCCATGGGGGATATTAGCAGAAGATCCTTAAGGTAGATATGTATATATTGACTGCACTGGGTGCTGAATGATGCTTATTGTAAAGGCAGGAGTGTAAGCTCACTACATGTGCACTCGTGTTCAGGCTGCTTTCATCTGGAACCATCCTATTTAGTCTTTTCTACCAAAGTCTCTGCAAATCAGCCTCTCCAGTAGGTTAAATAATCCATTCTTTAGGTGAAGAATGTGGCTACAGGCTACAGAAAAGGCATCAATATGTGTCCCATCTCCCAGTGAAAGTTGTGGGTAGCACAGGCCTGAGACTGGAATCAGACCAGTGGGGAAGGAGTCATACTTACTCTGCGAACAGACAGACAGGATGACCATCTTGCACTCCTTTCTCTGAAGGAGAAAGTCCATGAGTCTTCCTTTATCTGGCAAGAGATTTACTATGGGCTGAAGTTTCACTTGGAGGTTCCAGAGGTAACCTGGATTTAGGAGGTAGAAAATTCAATATGATGGTGCAAATCAGAACAAAGACCCTAAAGATGGTTTCCCTAAACTGGTGGGAGGAAAATAGTGCAAAGCAGTTGGTGGTCTTTCGTGCTAAGCACAGCAGAGTCAGGGAAGTTGGGACATGCCTGACAACAGACGGACTGCCAGCCAAACTTTATATACTTGGTGGATGCTTACAACACAATACCCCTCTGTGTTCACAGGTACATCGGTGGTGTAGCTCCCTGAATATGGGGTGAAGGTGGGCATGCAACAAATCTTTAACCAACTCAAAGCAGTTCCTTCCCTACACCAGGTATTCTTTTAACCTTGAAAGTAGAAAAGCTGTTAACATGTGGCATTAACTTCAGCCCTGTACTTTGGTTTATTCTGTGTTGGCTCATAGGTCCAAAAGGCAACTCCAAGGGAATTTCATAATTGGTTCAGATCAATCCATGAATTTCCTGACCACCACTCTGCCAGGTAGGCAGGTAGAGCCTCTCTCAATTGGGATTCCACACGAGAACTAAACCACCTGATCTGAGTGATCACTGTCTCAATTCTCCCACAGCTGGTACAGAGCTAGCATCATTCTAGATGGACGGGGAGACGGAAGAAGTGAATTCATTATATGCCGTGACACCTAGGACACTGGGGCTAATTCTCTCCTTGAGAATCC